AAATCCCAGTAGATCAGCAGTTTCTGAAATACTCAGAGCAGCCCGTCTGACAGCAACAACCATGCCACGTTCAAAGTCTCTTAAATCCCCTTTCTTCCCCATTCTGATGCTCACTCTGAACTGCAGCAGATCCTCTTGACCATGTCTACATGCCGACATGCAGTGAGCTGCTGCCATGTGATTGGCTGATTAGAAATTTGCATTACAAGCAGTTGGACACGCGTACCTAATAAAGTGGCCGGTGAGTGTACACTTTATTTTTCATGCTTTCATAATTTAATATAAGATATTTCCACATGAATGCATCAAAAGTGCTCAAACACTAAAATGGCCTTTGCTTCATAAAACTGCATCGCCATTATTATTATTTTTAGACACAATTTCTTTCAGTCAAATGTTTTGTGTTTAAATAAGAACTCTAATGAGATTTTTAACCCTCTTATCTCCTCTAATGAACGACACTGAAGCATGAAATGTTTCTTCTGGGTGTTTTTATGCTCTAAACCTCACCTGAGCTCCAGACACCCACCCGTCCCCTCAGGTGTGTGTGTGTGTGTATGTGTGTGTTTGGGGTCCATTAGCATGTGTAATCCTGCACTGTGTCCTGAGGCCCTGTCGGGGTCGTTCCTGCTTTATGTGTGTGTGTGAGTGTGTGTCTATGTGTGTGTGAGTGTGTGTGTTTCCCTTCCCCCTGCGGCCCTCAGTGAATGCAGACAAAGGCCTGACTCATCCTCACTCCAGACGAACATTCAAAGCAGCTTTAACTGCGCCGCAAACTCCAGAAAACAGAGCAGAAACACACCGATTACGGGAACGCGGAGTTTAGCGTCAGCAGAATCAGACACCGCTGCGCTTTTACATGTTTTAAGCTTGTTCAGATTTCTGCGATTTCTGATTGTAATACTGAGGTTTTCAGCACTGACTTTAGATGAGTGCTGGGCAAAGATTAACCATGAATATTAAATCCAAAATAAAACTTAGTTTTGACATAAAATATGTGTGTGTGTGTGTGTGTGTGTGTATATAAATGCACACATGCATGCATATTCATTCATTCATTTTCTTTTCGGCTTAGTCCTTTTATTAATCTGGGGTCGCCACAGTGGAATGAACCGCCAACTTATCCATCATATGTTTTGCACAGAGCCAGCCACCTTCTTACTCTGAGGTGATCGTGCCACCCATTGTGCCATTGTGTTAAAAAAATGTTTATTCATATTTTATATTAAATATATTTATATATACAAATTATATACACACTTAAATATATATGCAGTAAATTTGTTTTGTATAGTTTTTATCTATGTGTTTATCATTATATATATATATATATATATATATATATATATATATATATATATATATATATATATATATATATATATATATATATATATATAAAAACTAAGATATATATTATGTCAAAACAAACTTTTATTTTGGATTAATCTTTGCCCTGGGGTCCGTTCTTCGTACGTGGATTACTCAGTTAGCTGGATTTGGATATTGACGATTTGACACGATCCAGGATCGTTTCGTTCTTCAAAGCTGATCCGAGAGTTGTTGTCATGGCAACAGTTCTGCTAGCTCAAACCTGATCGGGAGCAGATTCAATTCATATAAACAGGATTAGATCGGCTCAGTTTAAGCAAATATAATACAGAAAGTATGTACCGAATTCTGATATTTTCTTACAGTAGTCGTTATATACACTTGGGAAAAGAGTAAATATTTTTTAAACTATATATATATATATATAAAGTTATAGTTATTAATAAAATAAATAAAGTTATACATATTAATAAAACTTATGCAATCTGCACTCTCGAAATGAAAGTACAAAGACTGCCACCTGGTGGTGCAAAGAGGAAACTTATTGATATGAACTTTTTAGATCGCTTTAGTACAAATTGTGTATAATAGAATTGCACAATATGTGACTTTTTTAAAGCAATAATACATGTCAGCAGTCATAAACATGTTTTGACAGTTAATATGCCAGTGATTGATGCTTCACAAAAGTTGCAGACGCCTTTACCAATATCAAAATGCTTTTGTAAACAACCAGTTATTCTTTACACCGATTAAAAAACGGCTACTATAATAAAAAAAATATTTTCTAAATGTAGAAATACATTGATATGCATTGAAATACATGATGAATACTCTTGACACATGAAAGTGTAAAGCCTGCAGCTCACAACAAATGTGGAAGGTTATTGCGTCTCATATTTATCAAGCCGTTTACTGCTAATTTGATGTAATTTTGCTCACATGGATAATTGAATATTAATCAGATGATGTCATTACGCAGCTGTGCCGTCAGCCAATCGTTGCATTGCTGATCATGATTTCTAGGATGGATAGATCTGTCCTTCACAACACACGCAGCGATCTCAGATCAGTTTATCCAGACATTCTAATCTGATTCGCAAACTCGTTTGAAGAACCAAATTAGCCAGAGATCAGTTATCAAGATTAAAAGATCCAGGATCTGCCAAATCATCTTAGATCATTTAAGCGAGGTACGAAGAACGGACCCCAGAACTACTTTGGATATATAAATATGATTAAATCAAAGAATATCATGAAAATTACTTTACAGTGCTGTCTAATTTGTTGGCTGACATGAATTTAAAATAATGACAAATGCACCTTTTGATATTCTACAAAAATAGTAAATGCTTTTTTTAATTTAAAGTCATGTAGTTAATAAATATTTAATATACTTATATTGCTTTGCTATTATATAAAGCTTCATTAGTTTAAGTAAAACAAATAATAATAATATTTTTAGTTTTTAGGGCGGCATGGTGGCTCAGTCAGCACAGCGGAATGAACCACCAACTATTCCAGCATATGTTTTACACAGCGGATGCCCTTCCAGCCTCAATCCAGTACTGGAAACACCCATACACACTCATTCACACACACACTATTGCACTACGGCCAGTGTAGTTGATCAGTTCCCCTATAGTGCATGTGTTTGGAGAACATGCAAACTCCACTCAGAAACACCAACTGACCAAGCCAGGACTCCAACTAGCGATCTTCTTGCTGTGCAGCCACAGTGCCAACCACTGAGACAGTCCCTATTTCAGTGTTGGCTTTATTTTTAAATGTTATAAATGCTGAAATATTATTTTATTTCAGTTTCAGCTTTTTTTTTTTGTTCCTGACTTTAGTTTCCCCTGAGATTAATCCTGATCCTGGCCCGTAAGGAATAGTTGTGCGTATTATCATTGCTGGAATGCCGCGGATTGTTTCTAGTTTTGGATTAGTGCGTCTCTTGACCTCTCTAGACAAACACCCTTGTGTTGGGGCCCCTGGGGGGCCTCTAATGGCTCCTCGCGGCTCCTCCATTCACACTCACAGGAAACAAGCGCTAGTGTACAATTAGCACAGCATTCAGGTTAGCGGTGAGACTCAATGGCTGATCTACAATGACGGAGGAGGAGCGGAATGTAAAACCAGCCTCCTTTTACTGAGAAACGGCCCACCGGCGAGATTAAACCAGCTGAAATCACAACCAAAGTCTGCAACACTCTCAACATCTCAATGAGTTCACTCAATGTGTGCTCTTAAGGGCAGCTCACACAAGAATGACAACTCACTAAAACGACCACACCACACTGCAGATAATGCCTTTCTTACTCAGAGTTTATGTCTTGCTTCTAGCCCAAATATCTCGAAAGTTTTAAATCAAGAAGCATTTTCCAGACAACTAATAATTATTGTCCTGTTTTCAGAAATAATGAGTCCGTAAGGTCTGTAAATTTTGGTTAGCTGCTTCAACTGCTACAAAGAAAATGTTGGCACAGAGGTGGAAACCTCCTCATGATCTCTCAATTAAGCTCTGGTTACATCTACTATTGGAAATACTGTATCTGGAACTGTCATCGGCACAGATCAACCATGCTAGACTGGAAGTTCTTACGGTATGGAAAAGCCATACATGGCGAGCCACCGAGCAAACTGGTAACAACAGAAAAGCCATCCACACGGCGGTAAGTGGTCAGCTGTTAGCGCAAGAGGAACAACGTCATACCACCCCGTATTGTTCGTTTTAAAGGCAGCAATACTTACTTCTGGCTACATAAATCGTGATCTATAGTAATATTTATGGGGTACGTTTTCAAAATGAGCCTGTGGCCCTGTTTACACTAGCGCGTTTCAGTTTTGAAACGGAGTTTTAGATCAAAAACGATCTGCGTCCACACTAGCGTTTCACCTAGCGTTTCTGAAGATATCTCCGTTCACACTACGCCATCAAAAACGTATATCACGTGACCATTCGCGCAATCTGGGCATGCGTGTTCTAGTATAAACAGGAAGCATGTGTCTTGCTCGGCATTTGGTTATTGTTAATGCTGGTTGAACAATAAACGCGATGGCAAAGAAAGCAAGAGAGGTATTTCTGTGGACAGACGACGAGGTCGAGTTACTAAACGTAACAAATGAATAACTGCACAATGGCGCCTAAAACAGACAATAGTGCAAACAACGCTGCCATTTCTGTGTATATGTTGTTGTTTACAGTGAAGGCTGGTCTGCTGTCTTCCGGTAAAGCCATGTGTTATAGTCATGTGATAGGGGCTTGACGAATAAGGGAAGGATACGTAATGACACAAAAGCTCCAATAAGGTAGCGAACCTTAGCAGCCCCACCTCCGTTTTCAGATGTCTCCGTTTTCCCTCATCCACACTGAGACGGAGCAGCAGCGTTTCAGAATGAAAACGGCCTCTCCAGCGTTTCCAAAACGCTCCACTTTCGGCGCTCGAAAACTCCGGCGTAGTGTGGACGGATGGCGTAACCGTAGCAAAACTTATGCGTTTTCAAACTAAAACACACTAGTGTAAACAGGGCCTGTGCTTGTCACATGCCATTATGTGTAGCCCCGCCCACAAAGACATCTTATTGGGCCACAAACCCAGAGAGTCCCACCCCCAAAACTCAGCCAAACTTTGATGCATGCTGTACTGTAATACAAAGAGTGGTACCTGTCGCAGGTCCAGCGTGACTGTGACCCAGTGGAACTGACGGCCGTTCTTGATGCTCGGACTCTGCCACCACAGGTTGGTTCCATCAATGGCGTTAGTAATTGGATGTTGCTCTGTTTCAATGCACATAAAACATTAATGACAACAATGACTAAAGATTAAATACATGCTGATGCTTGATTGATGACGTGCACAAACCAGAGTTATTATGATAAATAAAAATGTGACTTGACATTTTGAATACACAATATTAATCATTTAATAATCGATAACGAGAACTGATAATTAAGCCCATTTCAATAATATTGATATTATAATCTGCAGGTAGTGATATTTCATCATCTCAGATTCACTATTTAACAGATACTTTAAAGATATCTATACTACTTTATTGTTGTATATAAAGTCTAACCAGGGACTAAGGCAGCACATTTGGGGATTTGGAGTCTTACATTGGCCACAACTTTCTCTGTGTTTGAGCAAATTTTAGAAAAATGCATTGAAAATGTTCCAAAAAATCAACAGAGGCAACACACTCTAGGCAAGTTGACTCCCCTTTGGTGATGTTGGTGGCTGTCTTGCCCCATTGACTTCTACTATAATCTCATGTTTAGCCCTGACAGCATATAATCATGCATTCTTGATTGTTGCTGGTTGTCTCTGTTGGGAATCAGGACAATTTGTCATTTTTACTGTTGATCATCAGTTGTGGTGCAAAAAAAATCTTACTTTCTGCCTTCTATATAGAGTACAATGTGTGTGTGTGACCTTTGCACTCTTATCTTGATGTATGAGAAACTCACGATTATCCCCTCAGCTCTTAGAAGCAGCCGATTTAAATGTTATCATTGATTGATTGGGAGTTATCAGTGGTTATCAGCTTATAGATATGGGTTAGTAGGGGCCTTCTGTGCCTACTGGTAGGCTCAGAAGGCTGTTATCATCCATCCACATGGTTAATCAGCTATAAATCACATATGGCTGAGGCCGGAAGTTAACGAGAATTATTTTATATAATTTATTAAATTTCCCATTATTTGCATTTTATTAACTTCTACATCTACCCCTACCCCAAACCCAACCCTCATAGTAACATAAAAACAGATGGAGTTTTCTCTTTTAGTATAGCTGATTAACCATGTGGATAGATGATAACAGCCTTTTGAGCCCACCAGTATAGGTGCACTACTATTGGCCCATTTCTATCAGCTGATATACTTCACTCATAGATTAATAGAGCTCAATTATAGCTTAATTATAGCTCAAATGAAAGCTCTTGCCGGTGCTCATACGGTTCTAGCATTCTTTTTACTAAATTATATTCACATATCAAACAGTTGTCGAATGAATCGCGGTGTTTCCATGGCGCAGAAGTGAAAACAATACATTTATGATCAATAAGCAGCCCCAGATAGCACAGACAGCTCATCTCTTACCTTATGCTGTGTGCTTCAGGGCCATTCTCCTCTGTTTTTGAGCTGATGTGCATAAGTAATGCTTTTATATGTCTGACGTGCTCCAAACACAGTGAATTATGTTTGATCAAACAAAAGAATAGTGAAATATGAACACAATGATCGCTCCCTGAGGCTCATACAGCACCTCTCATCAGTTGGAATGCAATAACTTCTGCATAGATTATGGTGGAGACATTTTTCTTTTTTCCTATGATTACAGACATGTGCAGGAACCCCCAACATTACTTACAGCACGCTAGACCACACACAACCTAAAGGTACACTTTCACATTTGAGTTTGTAAAAAAAAAAAAGCGCCTCTTTTATTAGGTGTTTATTATAACACAGACAACATCTACAGTTATTTTAAACACTTTCAATAGTGTCAATAGCAGCAGAGTTTAACTGGTTAATCATCAGTGTGCAGCATTAACCCTGTGTTAACCACTTAAACTCTGCTGCTATTTTGGGATTTCCGCCTGGATTTTGCCTACTCAAATTTAAAAGCTTCCCAAATCCACATGCAGAGGTGTAAATGCAAAAATTTGGTTTCATTTTAAAGAAAACCCTTTGAATTTTCATAAAAAACTATCGAAAGTGTTTAAAATAACTGTACATGTCATCTGTGCTATAATAAACACCTAAGAAAAGAAGCGCTTTTTTTTTTTTTTTTTTACAAACTCAAATTTGAAAGTGTACCTTTAGGTTCTGTGTGGTCTAGCGTGCTGTAAGTAATGTTGGGGGTTCCTGCACATGTCTGTAATCATAGAAAAAAAAAATGTCTCGACCATAATCTATGCTAAAGTTATTGTATTCCAACTGATGAGAGGTGCTGTACAAGCCACAGGGAGCGATCATTGTTTTCATATTTCACTATTCTTTTGTCTGATCAAACTTAATTCACTGTGTTTGGAGCACGTCAGACATATAAAAGCATTACTTATGCACATCAGCTCAAAAACAGAGGAGAATGGCCCTGAAGCGCACAGCATAAGGTGAGAGATGACAGCTGTCTGTGCTATCTGGGGCTGCTTATTGATCATAAATGTATTGTTTTCACTTCTGCACCATGGAAACACCACAATTCATTCAGCAACTGTTTGATATGTGAATATAATTCAGTAAAAAGAATGCTACAACCGTATGAGCACCGGCAAGAGCTTTCATTTGAGCTATAACTTGTACATGTGTAAAAATATGAAAATGAACCAATGTAAAATACCTAGCTCGGGTCTCCAAAATACTGTGCATTTAAGTGTAAATAACATTTATACAGTAAAATAAAAACCAAAGTGATGCATATGTGCATAAAATATAGATTCTACACTTTCAAACGACACCACAGGGGTCTGGTGCAACGCTA